GCAGGAATAGTTTGTGACAACTAAAAATTAAGAATATTTTTTTAAATGTATAAATGCAACTTCGAAAATATTGATGTATTTAATACAAGTAATAATTTTAAGAGCCTTTAATTTCATTTGAAGTGAGTAGGTGTAGAAATTAAGTTTTGCTTTTAGTTTTAATCTTACAAAGAAAGCATTTTTAATTCAAATATTTTCTCACCGCGGCCTCGAATGTCATTCGTTGCGTTTACAATACGTCACGTGATACAGTAGTGCAAGCGATCTAATAATAATCTAAAAAAGCGACCACTAATATAAAGGCACATTAGATGTTGTATTCTTTTCACATTTCAGTTAAAAAAGAATGCAGTTTAAGCAACCGAGACGATCTGTGCTGCTCTTGAATAGTGAAAACATACGACATGTGAAAAGTGATGGAAACGATTTTGTCAAAATATATAAAAATTAAGCTAGGTAGAAAATAATTTTATTGGACCATTAGAATAATTATGTAAGAGACTCAAGCATAATAAACAATGCTGCAATAAATTTTAATATTTCAGCAACTAGCTTGAAGATCCTTAATTATTTTGATGCTTCAATAAAATTATTTTCAGATCTGACTTAATTAAATTTTTAGACATTTCAATAAAATCGTTATTTTTGTTAATATATATAAATTTTAAAAAATTAAATAAATAATAAATTAAAAAATTAAATTTAACTAAATTTAAAAATTTAATAGAAATATATATATATATTAACAAATAATCATAATCAGAAGAACAATATATAGATAGATTAACTCGTGACGATTAATAATTATATTTATTTGTTGATAAGCACGAGTGCAAAAAAAGAATGATTTTACTGAACTTTTTGCGCTAATTTTAAATGTGTTTGTCACATGTGAGAAAAGCTTTTTGAGTATCATGCATTAAAAAATTCCTGTACTTATCCCTTCAACAAACAATAAAATGATTCGCAGGGAATACCTACTGAATTTAACCTACATAATTTTCTACTCATTACAAAAGACTTCACACAAAAATAAATGAGAAAAAGATCCCAAGATACAATAAAGTGCTAATAAAATGTATAAGTTTTGTAAAAAGATCAGATTTGTCGGTTGGACATATCTGATCTTTTACAACAAAAAATTGGAGCCTGTAAGATAAATTTTATCTCATTTTTAACATCACAAATACATAAGATTCATCTTTCTCCAAAATTACCCATTTAAACAAAATCATTGTCGAGTGCTATTGCTCGTTATTAGAGCGATATGGCATTCGCCAAGATGCAGCTACAGTAACGGCGAGTAACAGATGCGATTTATATTTCAGATATGTCCCTGTGCCACTTCAAGATCTGCAATATGGGACGTAAGAGGCAATCAAAATAAATCTCCGTAAAAGGCAGTCGCGAGAAGTTCGAAACGGACGGCGGATGCGGCGAGGAGCTGAGGAGCTGGGAGGGGACCTCATTGTGCTTTAAGAAAAACATTAAGTAACAGATCAATAAAAAAAACACATCTTGCTACAATCAATTAAAAATCGAAGTGAAGAAGATAGCAACGACGAGCGGTCTTTAGTTGTTTCAATGCTTCTTCTCCATCCGACTTTTCATTTAAAAAAAGAAAGAAAAAAGTCGAAAACTTGTCATCTCTAAAATCGAGTTTCTGAAAACTAAATTCTATAAAAATATTCAATAATTGAATCCATTAAAAAAAGTTTACTTAAATTTTAATAAATATTTATTTAAATCGTACTAACAAAGTATTTACTTACAATAAATATTTACTCAATAAAAATGATAAATCAAATTAATAGTTTTCCCTGTACCGAATAAGTATATATTTACATTTAGTACCTAAATATTTAGTTAGTATTATATTAGTATTACAGATAAAAATATTTATTAAAATTGAGTAAATTTTTTTTCAGTATATAAACAAAAGTACTCAATTCTTTTTTATTGAAAGATACGATAAAAAATGTAAAAGCAGAGAAAGATAGATATTTGCGACGAGAAAAACGTGATACATCGTTACAGAAAAATTATCGCTCCTCCTTGCTATCCCTTCGGGATAATGATTGTTACCAGTATTACACACATATACACACGTCACGTTGGATCTATACGTGCGGAAAAGTTACAGCGTGAAAAGCGTGAATCACGCAAGTAGCTCGACGAGCGTTTCTATTAACGAACGTCGAGCCTCATCGAGTCCCTCCTCCTTCCTGTTTGTAACAAAGCATCGTCGTACAAAACAACGTGCGTGTGTAGAAAAAAAAAATTAACGTAAAAAAAAAACGTTATACTCGTTCGAATTAATGTCGAAAAAAACCGTCCTCGGCCGCCGGAACGAAGGCACACCGTCTGACTGGTTCGGACGAGAGCTGCGCGAGCTGCCTGACTACGGTTGTCTGAAACTACTTACTGAGATTACCGAAAGATCAACGACGAGGTACAGTTAAGTAAGGATTCGCACCACTCCGAGAATGATGCACGCGAGAGATGCGCTAGTCCAGGATACTGTCCTGGGTACTCTTTAAATTCCTTGGAGTGAAATCTCACTCTAAAGAATAAAAATTGAGCCATTCTTGAAAAAGAGCTTGTTATAAAAAATGTAATGAAAAGTTCCAGGAGAAAATAGGATAAGAAAAGAGTAAAGGTAGCAACAAAAAAATCAATTAAATTCTTCAAAAGTTAATAATGTTAATAATGTTAATAATTATAAAGGATTGTTGTCTTTAAAATAGAGAAAGTAGGGTAGAAGTCTTAACAGATTCTGACTTTTAGTGCTGATTTTTAAACTATGAGAAATATATACGAGGAAAAAAGCAGCCAATTATGATATTACTGTAGCTGTATAATTTGCTGACGAATTAAAAAACGAAAGGGCAAAGAAAATCATGTGTGAATTTAAATCACAACTAAAATTTGAATTAATAACTCGATTTAAGAGTATCTCGATTTAATGATAAAAGAGGAAAATCTGTTATATATTTCTCTTTACAAGAAAAAAAATATAAAAACGTTGCTCGGATTTTATATAAATAACCGATTAAATCGATCGATACATGAAAATCAAAATCTTACTTAAAAGTACCTCATCGATGGTAAAACACGAGAGAGAGAGAGTGATTAGATAGTTTCTCTTTTTTTTTGCAAAATATCGACCGTTTGGAAAAATGGTGTCAATTAAATAATTGAGTAAGATTGGACTTGATTAAGTAAGCAATTAATATTTTCGGCGAGAAATAATATATATTATTGTAACAAAAGAATTAGAAAATTTATGATATAAAAATAAATACGATTTATGCCGAAAATAAATGGTTTATGTATTTATCGAATATTTAAATGTTCCTCTAATATTATGGATACGCTAACCATTTGGTCCCGAACTTTCTTCCCCCTATTACAAGTTCTACTCTCTAAATTCTTTGGAGTGGAATCTCATTCTACAAAGTGAAAATTCTCGAGCCAGCCTTGTGGTTCAATTTTCAATCTTTAAGAGTGAGATTTCACTCTCTCTTTAGAGTTTTAGAGAGCTTTAGAGAGTAGTAAGCTTTAGAAATCGTTCTCAGCATAACAAGCTATCAAATTAACAATTTCTGAATGATCACAATAAAAATAATTCCCGAGAAGAGTTCATCTCGATGATCATTAATGGATTTAAAAAGAGTTTCAATATTCTGATATGAAAAAATATCTCGATTCATTTCAATTTTACTTTGTACACTTTTACAACTTGTAAAGTGAAATCTCACTCCTAAAACTTGAAAATGGAGCCATTCTTTTTCAAGACTGGCTTAATTTTCACTCTTTAGAGTGAGAGCTCACTTCAAAGAATTTAGAGAGTAGAATGATAGATTTTATTATTTGAAAGAAAATATGTATATATTTTTACAATTAATTTTACAAATAAATTCTGAGGGAAAATTATTCAGATAGATCTTTTGCTTGACCAAACGTGACAGAGACAACCGTCGCTATTGGAAAATTGATGAGAGTGAATAATGTGCAAGATTTCTGCTATGCTGGACGATTATACATATATAGACACTTACATATATATCAATCAATGAGAAAAAAGAAAGAAAAGAAGTGGAAGAACTTGACCAGCTGTGCGCCAATTATTTAATTGACACCAATCGAACCATTTTCTCGGTCGTGCTTGACAGATCGAATAATAAAGCAGCAACAAAAGACACAAGTAGGCAGAAAGAAAGAGTAACAAAAAAAAAGATTCGAAGAAAAAGCTCTCCTCCTCGCTTGCGTCGCAGATGCTCTTGTGACGTAAAAAAATTTATCTAGCACTAATGGACTACGCGCGAAGATTTCGTGAGGAAAGTATGCAATAGAGGGACGAAATATATCGCGTTTAAAATGGAAAATCGTCGGCAAGAAATCACGAACAACAAGCGACTGAAAGACGATCTCGATCGCGCGCGATCCAAGTTAGAATACGAAAACTATTGACTTGGCCTCGTCTATATTTATTATTATCATTGTTATTACTACTGTCGCCAAATATTGTTACTATAATTAGTTGAGTTAAGCCGAAGGAACGCGCGTGCCGAATCCGTTCTCGAGACAATCAAGAGACATGAGATCTGTCCACGTTGCCTGAATTCTGGAAAAATGTTTGTACTTAAAAAAGGAGATAAATATATTATATATTTATTCAGATGTTGAAGAGAGAGAAAGTGAAGATGTAAAGTGCAAAAAACACGAGCAACGCGGACGGATCTAATCTGACAATACAAACTCTAAAATTGGAATAAAAGACGTCTTTTAAGCACTTTGGTGTCACATTGCTTTCTGAATTTTTTAAAAATGAAATTCACTCTAAAGAATGAAAATTGAGCCAGTCTTGTAAAAGAGTGGCTCAATTTTCAATTTTAAGAGCGAGATTTCACTTTTTAGAGTAAAATCCACATTGAAAGTTTTAGGGAATACGCATTGAAGACTAAGGATTGCGAATTAAAGACAAGAATTCGAGCCAGATCATTTTTATTTTTATTTTATTCTGATTGGCTGAATCTTCAATTCGCAATCCTCAATTTCCAATGTAATGTGACACGAGTTTTAGATGATGCTCGTAAAAAAAATCTTATGTCTCAATTTTAGATTTTATGTTATCTAAATAGTGTCGAGCGTCAAACTCCCAGCAAAGACCAACTAACACTAACATAACTGTTAATTATAATTTTCCACTTAATAATATAACTGTGCTCTCTAAATTTTTGGAATGGAATCTTACTTTAAAGAGCGAAAATTAAGTAATTCTTGTAAAAGAGCACATATCACAGTTCTCAGCAGATAGCAACTAAAATTAACATAACTGTTAGTTCTAATTTGCCTCAACAATATAACTGTAATATATAACACATATGTTGAGTAAGAAATTACATTAATAATTGAGGAGCAGACTTTCAAATAGTGTTTTGACTTTCAAAATTTGTAATTTTTAAGAAACGAGAAAGAAAGAATTCTGCATACAAGAATATTACGCACTTTACAGAAAATAACAATACGTCAGTAGGATGTAAAATATTAAACAAAATTGCTAAACAATTGCTAAAAACGTTAAATGTATTTTGTTTGTTTCTAATTAAAAAATATAATGCACTTTGAAATGTCTATGAATTTTCAGCATATAAATTAACGATGAAAAAATGCTTTCTGAACATTTCAGAGTAGCTTATAATATGACTCAACACTGAATGCTTGGAAACGCCATTTCCAATTAAAAAAAATGAAATTTTGGACAAAACGCATTTTGAAAATCTGCTCCTCAATTATTATTAGTTAATATTAGTTAGTGATTGCTGAATTATATAATGAGGAAAATATAACTAGCAAACGTTGCTGTTAGTTGGTGTTGTTTGCTGGAGTAATGCTCTACACGATGTAATCAATCAATTCAATTTATCAATAACTCGCCATTACTTGAATTCGCCGATGCATTTCGAGTATATTTGGCAAAAATAATCAATGGAGGAGGTGATGAAGGAGGGCACCCGCATTCCTTCGTTATTTATGAATCGGCGAAGTCCGACCGTTTCTTCGAGAGAAACGCAATCGCTTCTTTATTTATTTTAACTAACAATTATCTCGTAGAGCTTTGTGGTATTATCTCCCTCCCCTCTTATCTGTAAATTAATGCTTTTGCGCTTAATTCATAATCTATCGATGACGCTTCCTTCTACTTCCACCTTTATATATTTATCAATTGAACGCGCCTTTCCAGGTCCAATTCGTTAATTAAATTCGAATAGGGACACAAATGAGAAAGAAAAAAAATAACAAAAATAAGTAGAAAAAGGAAAGATATACAACGCGATATACAACGCGCAAATCGACGCATGTACCTCAAACAATGCTAACGATAATAAACTGTATCATCATAATTCTCCTCGTTTATTTATCCTGTTTTTATTTATATGCATCTAGATGACTCCATGATGTAAAAATATTAGGTGTAACATTCTGGTGAAAGCATAGTTGTTCAAAGTAATGGTGTTTGCTGAAGTA